TTTAAAAGTTATTAAAATATTGTTGCATTATTACTATTTCATGCCATGCCCCGTGTGTTTAAATAAAATGTTTTGTATTACAAATTGACTGTTTTTAGCCATAGTCCTCTAGCGACTGAACTGTTCTCTGGTTGTATGATAGAAATTTTAGAAGAATAATTTTTGCAGTCTACTGCAGCTTAGGTAGCATCAAAGAAACCTAACAGCTTCTTGATACAGACCTAACTTTCAATAACCATAAAGTAAGTTAAGTATTGGCAAAATCTAACTCATCATAATTTTCATTTTGACTATGTAGTACATTAATATGGTTTACATTTCAAAAGACACCAAAGGGTAGTCAGTGGAAAGTCTCCTTACCTTCTCTCCTAGCTTCTCAGATCCCCTCCCCAGAGACAACCAATGTTTTATCAGTTTCTTATGTATCTTTCCAAAGATATACAGGTATATCTATTCTCTCCTGCCAACTTTTTACAGAAATGGTAGCATCTTACACACATTTCTTCACCTTTCTTTTTTCCACTTAACAATCTATCAGCAAATAAAGAGTTGGTTGTTTTTTTAAACAGCTGCATACTATTCCACGGTATGGATTAAATTTAACTTAATCCATCCCTTATTAAAGGACATTTAGGCTATTTTCAATGCTTCAAGGAGTAACCTTATGCATTCAACATTTCATAGGTGTGCAAGTATATCTCTTGGATAAAATCCCAGAAGCAGAATTGTTGGATCAAAGATGAGTATTTGTAATTTTTATAGATATTACCAAACTGCCCTTCATAGAGTTTGACCCAATTTGCATTTCCATTAGCACTTACTTCCCCAAACCCTTAACACTATGTATTATCAAACTAATGGATCTTGGTCAGTCTACTAGCTGGAAAATGGTATTCCTCTTCCTACAATTTTTTGTTTTACTTTTGTTATAGATCCTTCTGAGAAGGGATAAAGGGCTGATAGGTATGAAAAAAAAGATGACAAGAGATTTATTCTGCATATCTCAGAAGATTCAAAAGGCAAATTTTATAATTTTTTTTTTTTTCTTGAGGAAGATTAGCCTTGAGCTCACATCTGTGCCAATCTTTCCTCTATTTTGTATGTGGGTCACTGCCACAGCATGGCTTGATGAGTAACATAGGTCTGCGCCCAGGATCTGAACCTGCAAACCCAGGCCGCCGAAGCAGAGTGCGCTGAACTTAACCACTATGCCACTGGGCCAGCCCCAATGTTTTTTTTTTTTTTAATTTTATTTATTTATTTTTTCCCCCAAAGCCCCAGTAGATAGTTGTATGTCATAGCTGCACATCCTTCTAGTTGCTGTATGTGGGACGCAGCCTCAGCATGGCCGGAGAAGCAGTGCGTCGGTGTGCGCCCGGGGTTCCGAACCCGGGCCACCAGCAGTGGAGCGCGAGCACTTAACCGCTAAGCCATGGGGCCAGGCCTTTTTTTTTTTTTACCTAGCAGAAAATAACAGGCGTTACTGCAAGATATGGTTCAGGCTTAAATTACAAACAGGGTTAAAACAGGCCCAGAAAAATGCATACATATTAAATTCATGTAAGTTACTAAGAAAAACTGAGAATAGTTTCTCTGTTTCCCTTGAGTTTTAAAGTCTGATTTTTTTTTAATTTTAAAATATTAAGAATTTATATATACGATCAGTTCTGCTACAATGCTTGTTTTGAAGACTCAAATTTGTTTCAATTTGATTTGTACTTTAGGGAACAATATGAGCAATTTCATCTGTGAGAAACACTAAGTGAGCACAGAAAAATGCATCCAGTTGCACAGGGCAACATATGAATGCACAAAACATGCACACGTCTTAAACATCTACCAGCTAATCAAGACACTGTGGTACTGACGTAAGGATAGACATATAGATCAATGGAATAAGAATTGAGAGTCCAGAAATAAAATCATGACTTTATGACCAAGTGATTTTCGGCAAGGGTGCCAAGATCACTCAAAGGGGGAAAATAGCCTTTTCAACAAATGGTGCTGGGACAACTGGATAGCCACATGCTATCCAGTCAAGTTGGACCCTTACCTCATACCATAGACAAAAGCTAACGCAAAACAGATCAAAGACCCAAATGTAAGAGGTAAAATTATAAAACTCATAGAGGAAACACAGGAATAAATCTACATGACCTTGGATTTGGCAGTGGATTCTTAGACATGACCCTAAAAGCACAAGAAACAAAAGAAAAAAATAGTTAAATTGGATTTTATCAAAATTAAAATCTTTTGTGCTTCGTAGTGCACTATCAAGAAAGTGAAAAGACAACCCACAGAGAGGGAAAAAATATTGCAAATCATGTATCTGATAAGGGACTTGTACCTAGAATATACAAAGAACTCTTACAACCTAACAATAAAAAGACAACCCAATTAAAAAATGAGCAAAGGATCTGAAGAGATATTCCTCCAAGGAAGATATGCAATGGCCAAAAGGCACACGAAAAGATGCCTGACATCCTTAGTCAGCAGAGAAATGCAAATAAAAAACACAATGAGATAACACTTCACACCCACTAGGATAAAAAGTCAGATAACAACTGTTGGCCAGGATGTGGGGAAACTGGAACCCTGTGGTAATGTAAAATGGTACAACCACTTTATAGAAAAGTCTGGCAGGTCTTCAAAAGTTTAAACATGGAGTTACCATATGACCCAGCTATTCTACTCCTAGGCATATACCAAGAGAAATAAAAACATATCCACACAAAAACCTGCACGCAAATGTTTATAGCAGTTTATTCATAATAGCAAAAAGTGGAAACAACCCAAATGTCCATCAATTGATAAATGGACAAATAAAATGTGGTATATATCCATATAATGGAATGTTATTCAGCCATAAAAACGATCAAAGTACTGATACATGCTACAACATGGATGAACCTTGAAAACATTATGCTAAGTGAAAGAAGTCAATCACAAAAGATCACCTATTATATGATTCTATTTTTATGAAATGTCCAGAATAGGCAAATCTATAGAGACAGTTAAGTAGATTAGTGGTTGCTTAGGGCTAGGGGAGGGAGGATAAAGAAGTGATACCTAAAGGGTACAGGGTTTCTTTTTGAGGTGATGAAAATGTTCTAAAATTGACTGTGGTGATTGTTGCACATATCTGTGAATATACTAAAAACCATTGAAGTGTACACTTTTAATAGGTGAAATGTATGGTATTTGAATTATATCTCAATATTATTTAAAAAACCCATCTCCCAACTACCTTAGTTCACCTCTTGTGTATGAGCCACACCCTCCACACCTGGCCTTAACTTTCCATCAGATTTCAGACAACCCTCCTTTATCACTTAATAATAACTCACAAGAGGTAACCCTCCCCACTTCTACTTCCAAAAGCAAATTTCAGGGTTTTTCCAAGGAAAAGTGCTACATTTACTATAATATTTATATATTTCTTAACTATTTAACATGTATAAAAACTGACCTACCATTTTTATTAAGTTCCTATCTTTTCTTACATATTAATGATGAAGTTTTTGAGTGTTATGCCCCAATCCCATCTTTCCCTTGAGCTCTATGGTTTTTATTGCCCAATTTTGCATAGTCGAGAGATTTTTAGGAATGGACATGCCATATAATAGCAGACTAACCGCAGAATCAAATGGCATTGTCTCCCCCAAAGACACCATTAACGCTCTTATCAGAAGCAGAAGTCAAAGCTGGATAAATCACCAATCCAAACCAATAAGGTTTCAACTGGTTTTCCCTGTTTAAACACTTCAAACTAAAATGCTAAAAGAAATTAATTCCATTTGGGATACTATGGTAACAACGTGGGAAAAAGTTTTCAATGATTATTACACTTTTGTTTTCTAGAGAGTTTATGAATATCCAAACATGGTTCTGAAGGGGAACAAACAGTACTCATTTCAAAAAGAAGACGTAATTTATGGAGCCTAGCTAACCAGCACGCATCCTGTGCTCTACTTGGGCTGTTTCCTTCCAAATCAAACAAAAATACCACGTTCATTTCAGTTTCTATGCTTTCATTCATTCCCCTAGCACAGGGTGTCTTCCCCCTTCCCCTTACTCTCACAGATCTCATACTCCTGATCCAAGTCCTTCGTAGATGATCCCCCCACCCCCCAGCTCCATTCTTCAGTGGTCTCTTATGCCTCTGAGTTCCTATAGCATCTATTGCTTGATTTACACAATTTTAGTCTCATGTTGTTTGCTCATTTCATTCCAGTCCCTTGAACATGCAAGCTCCTCAGGGAGAGAATCACGGCTAATACTTCAGACTCCACACAGAGCTTGCACAACACGGAGCATAGAGTAATGCTCAAGAAGTTTCTGCTGCTGGGTGATAAATAGTACAAAATCATGAACACTAAATAACCTTCTAGTTTTCTTAGTTATGACTCAACCATTTCTGATACAAATCATTTCACTGCCTTTCAAGAAGCTAAAATTTTAACTTAGCTGTGCTGAAAATTATATGACTGCTAAGGAAATGAAATCCTATAAAACTCGCACTCAGCTATTTTAACCGCAAAAGAGGCTAAACAAGATATTATAGTTGTCACACTAAACATTTTTAGATTGTGGACCCTAATTCTACATTATAAGATATATGAGAGCAATTTTTATCTGCAGCAATTTTATCACCGTGACAAATTACCCCAAGGAGTGGTTTTCAAAGCTTTCTTTTGGTAGCAGAAACCTTTTTTCAAACAAAAGGCTAAGTGGAATTCTACCATAGAGAAAAAAGCAGAACTGATCTTGCTAAAGTAGAAGGAGGCACCTGTAGTTCTGCCTGCTTAAGTCCCCTTCAAGTGCATACCGCCCCTTCCCTGACCCGTCCCCAACTGCAGTGAAGACTTGAGGCATCTCCGAGAACCAGACAGAACTGAGAAACACTCATGGAACAATCTGCAAGCTGCCATGAATAGAAAAATACTTCATTACTTTTTTTAAGATTTCAAACATCACTAGAATATAAAATTAAAACTTACCCATTTCTACTGAAAACTCTTAGCCATGCTTTAATATTTGGTCCCAACAAACACAAACAAGGTACAGTAGTAAAAGTAGACAAAGTAACTGCAAATAAAAATGTTTCCAACACCAACCTAGGGAAAAAAAAAACCTTATTAATTTTTTAAAAAGTGTTAAAGGTGCATGTACTCACACATATATATTCCTTGTTACTTAAATAAATTTAATGTAAAAATATTTTCTTATACTTTACTTTGAAAGGTAACATCAGTCCTAGCAAAATAATGAATATAAATAATCTTACTACTGAAATGCAAGCTATAAAAAACAATCTAGCAACTATCTGGCTTTAATGACAGATTTCAGAAGTGTTAAATACCCTATGTTCCATACTGAGACTGTCCATTGCAAGAAACCCCATTTCTAGATAATTAACTTTCTTCCTCAATAGTCTCTGGAACTGTCTCTACAACCAGTGGTTCAACTGTAGCCAATATCAGAACCACTTGGAGAGCTGGATAAACTGAAGATTGGGGGGTCCTATTCTAAGAGTTTCTGACTGAGGCCTGAGAATTTGCATTTTGATAAAATCCCGATGCTGCTGGTTTTAGAACCGCACTTTTTTGGGCACCACTGCTCCAGACATTCATTCTACTCTAAAATGGATTAGATAGAAACTACCATTTCTCATTACAAAGGTCTTGTCCTCCCCTCTGTAGAAAAGAATAACCTGTTTAGTGTATATATATATAACTATGTATATATATATAAAACTATATACATAATTATATATGTATGTGTGTGTGTATATCACATCACTCATTTCACCATGATCACTCATCACTGCTAAACTGAAGTTTCCCAAACTATAATGAACATTATTTAAGAAACATTCATGAATTTAGTTTTCACTAATTTAAAATCAGTTTTGAAAAAGTGTTTAAATTTTACTTTTAAACTATAAACATTACCTTATTAAGTAATTAAATATAGGAACCTATTGACTTTTCTTAAGAAAACAAACTCTTTTTAAGCACTTCAGAATCACATTTACTAAGACCTGATATGTTAGTTATAATTAACTTACACATATCATTGCATAAAAGTTCCTTAGAGGTTCTAAGGGCCACACATTTATTGGTATAGTATAGTTTCTCATCTACCTCCTCCTCACATGCAAGTGGGTGACATAAGGCTAGGTAATAGGAGCATTTAATGAATTAAGTTATTCCACTGTTTTTTAAAAGAATAACACTGCTAAGGAAGGGCAATGTGTCAGCATCCTTACTTGATCCATTAATTAAACACACCATGGTTTTCGTCTAATCACCAATAGAATTAGCACATTATTTAGTAAATGAGTGTTTTAAAACATAATTGCCACAGATAAAAACTGCCTTCAGATAAAAATTTCAGACTTACTCTATTAGTGGTGCTCCATAGAGAACAAAAATTATATGAAAGGAGAAACAAGACATAAGAAAATAGATACAGCATTTCAAAAATCTGGTTACCTAAAAAAGAAATGAATAATTTAAAGACTCAAGAGAATGCCTAAAGAACAGCAAATGCCTCCATTTTACCTACAAACACAACTTATTCCCATAATGTGTGATACAGTTGAATGTTCTTTGGATTTGAGTACCCTGCAGTCAGATCACATGTCCCATCAGGTACACAGCCCTCAACACAGCCTTACAAAGCAAGCATCACCCCCATATTCCACCCACCCAACCAACACTAGAGTCAAAATGCATTTGTTTCTATGGTATGTATTGAGCTATGTTGTTAATCAGTATTTATAAAATATTTACCAATAACAGAGTGCTGGGATCACATACACGTGACCACACATGAAATATTTGCAGAAAATAATGACTATAATAACTTTTTTCATTTTAAAACAAAATCCCTAGGAAAACTACACCAAAAAAAGCACAATACTAAATAATTCTCCAAATCATATTCATGTTACTAGATGATCCACATGAAAAGACTTACATGTTTGTAAATTAGTGTGTGGGACCTACTTGACTTGGAGATTAAGAAGATCTAATTATAAAACATGCAATAAGCTTTTTTAATCATAGGGCAGTAAACGTATTTAAAATTACCTCATAGAGGGCTTACATAGTATTGAATAATGTTAAGTGAGGACTTGATTAATTTAAAGTAATAGTCAAGTGTTACACTGTGGTGAATATTTCAGAAAACAGATTCTATTATCTGAAAACTTTAACTACTGTTTAGTTAAGGAAGGCCATATTGAAACTAGAGCTATCATAGAGTCTTATTTTCTAATTTCTGAAAACCTCATTAAGTGTCTTTCAGAAATGCAAAAAATAAATGAAAATAAACTGAAATGTCTTATAAAATAAGGTTTAAAGTTATGACTGCTATATGTATTTATCTCCAATGATCCCCATTGATTATATGGGTTCACAAAGCTATAATATCCACTTAAGACATCCTAATTTTGGGGCCAGCCACGTGGCGTAGCAGTTAAGTGCGCACGCTCCGCTGCTGGAGGCCTGGGTTCGGATCCCGGGCGCGCACCAACGCACCGCTTGTCAGGCCATGCTGTGGTGGTGTCCCACATACAGTGGAGGAAGATGGGCACAGATGTTAGCCCAGGGCCAGTCTTCCTCAGCAAAAAGGAGGAGGATTGGCATGGATGTTAGCTCAGGGCTGATCTCCCTCACAAAAAAAAAAAAAGACATCCTAATTTCACAACTAATGCACGGCAAGGATCTATTAAACATTGTGAGCAGCATTCCAACAAATAGGCTACTGATTTGAAAAAGAAATCAGGTTCTCTTTACTCACTGTAAATAACCCAATGAGTACTTGACTAATACTTTATTCTTCCATTAAAAGAAACACTACCTCCATCTAAAAATCAGTTATCAAGAAATAAGCCTTACCTTGTATGATAATGAACTTCTTCTAGAGGATGCATTTGGTTTCACCACTAAATATAATACTAGATTGACAGCAGTTACACAAACAGAACAGATGCACAACCATGTCAAGTGTGTTTCCAATATTGAGAAGTTCTCCAAGAACAATGATGGAATGAAGATGCTTAGGATAATTGAAAATATGCATAAAAGATGGGTATACAGTAGTCTCTTGATATCAGTATCTTTCATGGTGTTTTCTTGAGTGGCTATCTAATGAAAAACAAATTAAGAAAAAAGCATATGCAATAACTTTTTCCATCATCCTAAATGCTCTAACGCCTAAAAATAAGCCTTGAACCAAAGTCAATTTTCTACGGGCAACAACGTATTGCTTTCACAATAAGATGCATATGCGTAAATGCACATGTAGACTAATATGGTACAAATAGCTCTCAGAGCCTAAAAAAGACAAATTTACTAAGTTCTTAAATATTTGCGACTGATTTCTGCAACAGAGTCATGTGCTAGGACCAATTAAGCAATTCAATTTCTTTTTTTTTTTTTTTTTTGCCAAAATAACAGAGGTGAAAACTAACTGCATGGATTAATGACCTCCCCCAGCTGGAAATATAACCTATGCATTCTAAAAATCCCATGAATACACTTTGGCTAAATTGTTGGCATGTTTGTTTTTTTCACCATTGTAGACCTTTGTCTAACATGACAGGAGTTCACATCTTCTAGCAAATGCCAAGTGACACCAACTGCAAACTCAAATACTCAAATGACGGCCGGTGTAATCAAGAGAGTTCAAAGAACATTATGCTAAACTAAGGGACCCCAGTGCTCCAGAAATACCAAAATGACAGTGTCTGTTACAGGTGCTATACTCCAATCAAATGTAGAGCAAGAATGGGGGCCGGCCTGGTGGCACAGTGGCTAAGTTCCAGAACTCCGCTTCAGTGGCCCAAGGTTCATGGCCCGGACTTATGCACTGCTGGAGGAAGATGGGCGCAGATGTTAGCCCAGGGCTAATCCTCCTCACCAAAAAAAAAAGGAGCAAGAATGGAAAAAGAGAAAAAAATGTACTTTCTCTCCATACATAAAACAAGTATTTTCTATATATATTTAATTATTCATTACCTAACAGACAGCTTATACATAGTATTGAATAATGTTAAGGACCTTATTAATTTAAAGTAATAGTTCACATTCTGGTGAACACGCTAGGGAAAAAAACATATATTTTATACACACACACACAGAGGGGGCGCCCACTAGCGCAAAAAGGCAAGTCCAGGCCTTATTCTAACAGATCTCATTTAATTCACACTACAATCTTCAAAGGCAAATATTTTACTGATAAGGAAACAGGCTAAGACAGGTTAGGAGACAAGTCAAGGTCCCAAGCTCCCGAGTGCCAAATCCATTTCAAAACCTAGTCTCTCTGACAAAAGATACACACTAGGGGTCGAGAAGAGAATGAATAGCAAGGGAGAAAGGAAAAGTTTCTCACAGGTCCTATCCTTGGCTGATTGAGGGGTGGGAAGGGGGATCCGGAAGACATTGTCTCAACAGACACCCCTTAGGACATTTTTCTGGGCCACGCTCCGAATCCCAATTGACATCAGCGGATTTGGATCTAATACAGTGAGCAGTACCCAAACTCAAATGCTTGCCGAATGAATGAACGAACGAACGGAGAGGGGGTCAAGTGTTTGCCCTTCCTGAGAAGCCAGCACTGTGTTAGGCCCTGGCGAGCCCACGGGGACGCCCCGGAGGCGGCCTCAGTCCCGGCGTCCGCGTTCTGACCTGGCCCGGGTCCACAGGCATTGTGGCGGGAGAAGAGGCCCTCTGAGCTGCTCCCAGGGGAGCCTTCGCGGGAATCGCGGGACCTTTATCTGCAGCCCCACCTCAAACTGTGTAGCTCGGGACTCTACCCAAGCCTCAGCCGGCAGGAGTGTGGACAGCAGGGGACGAGCTGAGAGGCATAATCAAAGAGAACGGGCATGCAGCCCAGGAGAAACGGAGGGACAGACACAGAAGGTCAAATCCCAAAGACGGCCGGTCCATCAGGGCAGCCCCTGGGGCACGCCGGAAGAGTGGCGCTCGAGCGCCCGGGGGCGCGGGAGGAACGGGGCAGAGGCTCGGGGCCACTAGGGCAGTTGGCGGGGGCTGCTTTCACCCCCGGGAGGCTCGCGAGCCGCGAGCCGTAGGCTGGGCTTACCTAACTCGCCCACCTGCGGAAGCGAAGCGAGACCTACTACCTCCCACCATCAGGTGCGACTCGCCGCCCTGACCTTCGCGCAGGCGCAGGCCTGTGGGGCGGGGAGACCCAAGGCCGCACAGCCAATCGCAGAAGTGGAGGGGCGGGCAAAGGAAGCAGCCCCGCCTTCCGCCCGCGTTTATTCCTCCCGCGGCTTTCCAGGCGTAGGATAGGCGGGGCGGAGAGCGGGGGAGCCGGAAGTGGGTTGCCGTAACCCGGAAGGGGAATTCTTCCCTGGCAGTGCTGTTGATGTTTTCAACCCGTTGCTCGTTCCGCGGCTAAGGGAACCGTCGCGGAAGGATGGTGTGCGAAAAATGTGAGTTAAGGGGTGGCTTCTGCGGGAGAAGGAGGCTGGAAGAACCTAAGTGGAGTTCCCCGGGAACTTGGCCCTTTCTTTGTTTTGCCAGCGGCCACAGCACTCTGATTCTAGCCTGTCTTCCTACTCTGCCCTTTGACCATTCTTGCTCCTCCCCAACGACCATATAGGTTGGTCTCAGTTTGCACCTCTTGGTCTATTTCCGTTGCTTTCCAGCAACCCCAGATCTCATCCCAAACAGCTTCTGACTGGCTCTCTTGCCTCACAGACCCTCAGGTGGGAATGGGTCTTAAAATTGACTTCTACAGCATCTACAGATTTAGCAAAAAAATACCAGACGCCCAGTTAAATTTGGGTTTCAAGTAAACAACGAATAATCTTTAGTATAAATGTGTCCCGTACAATATTTGAGACTTGGCTCTGCTGCTCCTTACTACTGCAAGTGCTTTGTCCCCGAGGACTTTTAGGACATTCTTTACAGAAAAGAGTATTCATTTTTTTTATCTGAAATTTAAAGTTAACTGAGCATCTGTATTTTATCTAACAATCGTAAGTCAGTATTCCATACATTGGCTTAATTGCCCTCTGCATGAATATCTACAGTATTGAGGCTGGGGCCAGGAGAGTCTCACCACCTTGAAATGAGTCTGTGTATACTTCACTGACTTTTAGAAAAGTCTTTCCTCCCTATAGTTGCTCTCCAGTGATTCTAATGCCAACCCTTGAGATTTCTGGAAAATATCTGATGATTTTTTTTACCTCACAAACCGTTTATATGTTTAAAAACAGCTGTCATATCCCCAAGTCTCTTTTTCCTCACACTAGACATATCTGGCTCTTCTGTCACAAGGTTTCAAGAACTCTTGTCCTCATTGCTGTCTCATTAACATGATCCAGTTACTGTCTAACATGATCCATTTTGTTTATATCTCCCTAGTAGATAAAACTTTGAGCACAGACATCCATGAGTTTGCATAACAGTTCTTATATTAGGTAAAAGGATGACCATGGTCGGATTACTTTAATAAATTCTCAGTGTGCAGGAAATAATTTGGGGTTTCTGTATTTGGAGCCTGGCATTCAGGATGACCCTCCACCATAAGGCCTCAGCTTATCTTTCCAACTTAATTGTCACTAACTATTACCCTCTTCACACTTTGGCCAAACCAAACTATTTTGCATGCCCTTGTGTATTCTGAGCTTTCCCTGCCTTTCCTCAGGCTGTGTCCTTTATCTAGTTTGCCTTCATCCTCTTTCCTCCTCTTTCTTCACAGTCACATTGCCACAAACCCTCTCAGTTGCCTTCCCCACAAAGTTTTCCTGGATTTCCCTAGACAAGGTTATTTCTTCATCCGTGGAATTTCTCCTAGTACTTTAGCTCTCAATTTATTTTAGCTCTCAATTATTATACTTTTTATTTTCTAGCTTGTATTTTAGTTGAATGGTTCTTAACTTTTTTTTGGTTCTCTGAGCCCTTTGAGAATCTGATGAAAGCTAGAGAAGCTGATGAAAGCTATAGACTCTTACCAGAGTCTGTAAAAGAAATGGACATACAAAAGGTTTGTGTGCAGTTTCATCTTGTTCATGTACCTCTTAAGGACTACTGTTAGAGAAATCAGTGTACTATAAGCTCCTTGAAATCTAGAGCTTCATCTCATTTATCATTTTATTTTTCTCTGTAGTTTGTGCAATGATTTATAGATCATAGGTGCTTAGTAAATATTTATGAAATGAATAGATTTGTCAGATTTATGTAAAGTATACAAGTACATAGGAAGCCTATTATAAACCATACTACTATCCTACAGATTTTACTGAGAGTCTGTCATCCATTGCCCACAGTTAATATCTTAAGTCTTGGTTCATTGGCCCTGACCCCAGCATTAACAGGCTTCTACTATAATATGATTGCTGCTACCATTGTGAACTTTAGGCACAATGTAATGTATTTATTAGATAGTAAATGCTAATTCCCCTTACTTTTACTGTCTTGTAACAGGTGAAAAGAAACTGGGTACTGTTATCACTCCAGATACATGGAAAGATGGTGCAAGGAATACCACAGGTATTTTTTCCTTTTAGAACATAGAAATTGAGTTGAATACTTCTTGTGAATAATGTTTTAGTTTTTACATTATTTGGAAAATGAAATGTTTTTATATGTAGAAAATATTTCATGTATTAAACATTAAGAATACTGGATCCTGCAACAATTTAATATCTTCTATTTAGTTCTCTCAGTTACATATTGGGGTTCCTAATTTGGTAAATAGGACATAGCAAAATAATTAAATGATTTTTCAAGCCTTGAGTATATCAAAGTAATTGATTTGATTCAACTTAATTGGAGTTGGTATTTAATTCCCCCTCTTCTCACCTGATTTTTGTATTCTTGAAGAAATCATTTAAATGTTTTCACCTTCATAATCATTCAGTGCAATGAAGATGTTTTCAAAGGGAAGGAAAAGAAACACTTTTTCAAGGTCTATGGCACCAAAGTAATGGCATCTAGATTTTACATTAGTGCATTAAATGTAGACCCACTCCTAAAGTCCTACTTTGAGTCTAAGAAGTAAAATGATTGCATTTTATCCAATTTTTTATTGTTTCCCCAATAAACAGTTGTTTTCTTTTCAAGTAGTGTCTTAAGAACCTGGCTATTAACTGAGGAATTTTGAAAATTTTCATATAGGTTGGTCTGTTGGTAGGAGATTGAAAAATGAACTTGTTAACTAATTGTTCAATGCTATATGATTATGTTATGTGTGAAATGTGTGGAAATGACCCACTAAAATACGTGTATATTTTGTTACAGAAAGTGGTGGAAGAAAGCTGAACGAAAATAAAGCTTTGACCTCAAAAAAAGCAAGGTAGGTATAGGAGCACCTATAGAGCAGTCATATAAATTTCCACTCTTTTTAATATTGCATGTACTGGGGTGAATTTGGTGTGCGTTATTCTGTGGTGATAAAGCATAGAATTAGATAGTTCCTGGTCTGCAAAACCAAGCTATCTGTTATAACCTGCTAGTTTTACCCTGTTCCTCTTTACTGTATCAATATATGAAAGTATGTGTTACTTTCTTTTTATAATTTCACCAGAAAACACAACTTTTATATTTTTCTAGTTCTTAATTATGCTATAAATCAGAGGCAACAGAGAAGTGTGGAAAGATCATAAGCTCTGGAATCAGACCTAAATTTGAATCTAGACTCTGTCACTGTCTAGCTCTGTGATGTTAAATAAGTTAAGCCAGTTTCTTAACTTTTTTGAATTTTACTTTTTCATCTGAGAATGGGCATAAAAATGAATTTCCTACCTTAAAAATAATTTTTGACAGCATGCTTTATTATATGCAGTCTTAAAAATTCCATGAACCCTTCCAGGTGCCACCCTATTTCCTTGCTTCCCTTCACAGCAAAAGTTTTCAAAACTTTCTCATTGTCCTTAAGTTCCATTCTCTCCTTCAGCCACTCCAGTCAGGCCTTGATCACCACCAGACCCCTGAAACTGCTCTTGTCAAGATCACACATGACCTTTAAAACTGATGGCCACTTCTCTGTTCTTACCTTACTTAGCCTTTTAACAACTCTTTTTTGTACCCCTTTATTCTCTTGGCTCTGGGACATCACACTCTCCTTTCCTCCCAACTCACTGGTGGTTCCTTCTCAATCAAGTGCCTCTGGACTCAATCCTAAACTTTTTTTTTCTCTTTATAAATTTATAATCTCTCCTCCAGTGACTTTAGCCCAATGGCTTTAAATTCAAACAGTATGGTAATGACTCTCCAGTCCTAACTTCTCTGAGCTCCAAACATGTATCCAGCTACCTACTTGACTCATCCAATTTGATGTCTAACAGGCAACCTCTTTTCCCCTCAGACTTCTAATCATAGTCTTCTCATTATTGCACCACTGTCCAATCCAGTTGTGCGAGCCTAAAAACTAGAATTCCTCACTGATTGCTCCCTTTCCCTCACTTCCCATATCCATCAGCAAGCTTTCTGGCTCTACCACCAAAATATAAGCTGAATCCACCTGCTTCTGTCCATCTCACTGTTCTTACCCTGTTCCAAACCACTGTTATTTCTTAGTTGGATACTGTCATAACTTTCTATCTCCTTGCTTCCTCTCTTGTTCCTTATAGTTCAGTCTCCTAGTAACCAGAGTGGTCTTTTAAAGGGCATGTAACTGCTTTGCTCAAAACCCTCCACTGGTTCTTTTTTAACATAGAATAAAATCTAAGCCCCCTACCGTGTTCTTACAAGATCCTCCATCATCTGGCCCCTCCCACCTCTCTGACTTCCTGTTTTACCGGCTGCTGCATCAGATATGCCAAACCCACTCCCGTTGGAAGAGGTTTGTGCTTGCTGCTCCCTCCTCCTAGAGCTCATCCCTCAGAGCTTACATAGCTGGCTCCTTCTTCTTACTTAGGTCTCAGCTGAAATGTCACCTCCTCAGAAAGGGTCCCTAACCAGCATCTAAACTAATTTCTTTCCTTCTTCCCCTCGTGTCTGCCGAAGTATCCTGTTTGAATTTTCTCTACAACACACATTACTATCTGAAAAGCATGTTTGTTTCCTCTTATTGTCAGTTTCCTCTCACTAGAATGTCAGCTTGATGAGGGCAGAGGCTCTGTCTGTCAGGTCCATCTTTGGTATTTAGAACAGTAACAGGCTCATAGTGGACACTCACTATATATTTGCTGCATGAATAAATACCTGTTTCATGACATCATCCCAAGGATTAGAAATAGTAGTAATAATAAT